TGCTACTCTATAACTGTAATTTTGCTACTGTTATGAATCGTAATGTAAATATCTTTTTGTTTTCCGAGGGTCTTAGGCGACCCCTGTGAAAGGGTCGTTCAGGAATGAAAAAGGGGACTTCAGTACAAATCCCACAGACATTAGAAGAGTAAAAGAGTATTCTAAACGACTTTCACATCAATAAATTCTATAACTTTGATGAAATGGCCAAATTGCTTGAAAGTAAAAAATTACCAAAGCTGACTGACATAAGAGCTGAATAACCCTGTATTTATTAAATAAGTTAAATTAACAAATAAAAACTTTCCCAGAAAAACCCCAGGAGGTCCAGATTGCTTAAGTGGTGAATTCTATCAAACACGTAAGAAGAAATAATACCAATCCTACACAAACTTTTTCAGAAAACACTTCTCCATTTATTCTACCAGGCTAGCGCTACCCTGATGCCAAACCAAAGAAATGACAAGAAAAGAAAACTACAAACCAACATTCTTCATGAATAATGACACAAAAGTCTGTAACAAAATATTAGCAAATTGAACCCAGCAATATAAAAAATAGATAATACATCATGCCCAAGTGGGGTTTATTGCAGAAATACAAGGTTGGCTTAATATCAACAAATCAATGTGTCATTCACCATATTTACAAAATAAAGGAGAAAAATCATATGATCATCTCAACTGGTACAAAAAAAATTTGAAAAACTTCAGCACACATTCATGATAAAATCTCTAAGCAAGCCAGGAAAAGAAAGAAACTCTTCAATCTGATGAAGGTCATCAACCTTAAAACAAGCCTGAAGCTGACCTCTTCTTCAATGAATAATGAACATTTTCCCCCCAATCAGAAACGTGCTCCCACTACTTGTATCAACACTGTGCTGGCAGCCACAGCAGTGCAGTTAAGAAAAAGAAATTAAAGGTATACAAACTGGTGAGAAAGAAGTAAAGATATCTTTATTTACAGATGTGATCACCATAGAAATCCTAAGAATATATTTAAAGCTACTAGAATTTAATAAGTGGATTTACCAAGGTTAACAGGACACATGATCAATACGTATTTTTTTTAATCAACTATTTTTATATACTAGTAACAAGATGGAAATTTTAAAAATAGCATTTACCACAGCTTCAAAAAACATGAAATACTTATCAATATATTTAACGAAGTATTTGCTAGACCTACACGTACACTAAAAATTACAAAATACTGCCAAGGGAAACTAAAGAAGATCTAAATAAATGGAGACATTTACCATTATCATGGACTGGAAGAGTCAATATTGTTAACATGTCATTTCTTGCCAAACTGATACATAGCATCAAGAGTCTCAATCAAAATCTCAGCACTGGGGAAATGCAAATTAAAACGACAGTGAGATACTATTTCACATCCAAATAAGTATGCATGCATAACAACTGGAACTTCTCAACATTGCTAGCTGGTGTGTGGTACAACCACTTTAGCCTAAAGTTTTTTAAAAAGTTAAACATGTATCTTTCCCATGACTCAGAAATTTCATTCTTAAGTGGAATTAAAGAGAAATGAAAAATACAAGTATACACAGGATGGTATGAGAATGCTAACAGAGGTCTTATTCGTGATGCTGGAAAGAATTCAAATGTGTGTCAATAGGAAAATGACCAATTATGGCATAGTCACACAACAAATAAAAAGGAACTACTGACACACATAACACGTATGAATTTAAAAACATGTTACGTGAAAGAAGCCAGAGACAGAGTACAGAAAATTCTCTTATATAAGACGGAAGCGTATATAAGATTCCATTTATATGAAATTTAAGAACTGACAAAACTGATTTACGCAACTAGAAATCAGAAGGGAATCTGGGGTGGGTTGTAGGGGGCAAGGCATTGACTGCCCAGAAGCACAGGGAACTCTGGGATGCTGGGAATATCTAAACGGGGTTGTGGTTACACAGGTGCCTACATTTTTGAAAACTCATTAAGCTGTGCAGTTCAAATGAGTACATTGTATTGTCTGTAATTTTATACCTCAGTAAAATGTACTTATAAAGGAAAACTAAAAATAATATTAGTTATGTAAGTCCATGGTCCTCTCTGCCTAATACCACGTCACAGTGGGCTGAGGGGACCTCCACAGGCCACGTGGGCAACCATAAGCTGGCTCCGTTTTTCAGACGGTCCCTCTGGCCTCACAGAAGGTCCTGGGGACATTTCAGCCAGTCTCTAAAGTGTTGCTTTGTTTTGTTTCGTTTCATTTACTAGTACTTTTTCTTGTTTGGTGAGTTGATGAGAAGGGTTTTTTCCTCCTAACTTCACTTCTTTTTTTTCCTTCTATCACCAAATTAAATTACAGTTCCATCCTTTCTCTGAAGAGTGTATTTACCCTAAGCATGAGGGACAGTCCAAACACAAACAAAACTATAAAAATGTTACCAAGCATGAGGAGGATCTGTGTTGCCAGAAGCCAGATCAAGACTTCTGAGCCTCTAATGCAGAGGCGACACTCCCACCTGACTGCCCAGTAGCTAGGCCTCACCTATTCCTAGTATCCTATCCCGGGACACTAGCTGCAAAGGAGCCGGCTTCACACGTTGTTAAAAACCGTGATATTAGGCAAGTTCCAGGGCTGACAGGTGGCTGCCATGCTTCTCTGAACAGCAAAAGGCAGGGGCCGCAGCAGCCCCATGAGTCACCAACACCCAGGACAGGGCAGGCACAGTGTGTGAGCGCATGCTCAGTCCACAGCCCCGTGAGTCACCGACACCCGGGACTGGCAGGCACAGTGCGTGAGCGCATGCTCGGTCCACAGCCCCGTGAGTCACCGACACCCGGGATGGGCAGGCACAGTGTGCGAGCGCATGCTCGGTCCACAGCCCCGTGAGTCACCGACACCCGGGACGGGCAGGCACAGTGCGTGAGCGCATGCTCGGTCCACAGCCCCGTGAGTCGCCGACACCCGGGACGGGCAGGCACAGTGTGAGTGCATGCTCGGTCCACAGTCCAAGTAACCGACACCCGGGACAGGGCAGGCACAGTGCGTGAGCGCATGCTCGGTACAGAGCACTGTGCGATCGTCACGTCCCAGACGTGCCGTTGGAACAAATGCCAACGCCAAGACACCCTGCAGTTGCGGGCGCCAAAACACAAGTTCCTTTGCTCTGATCCAACACTGAATACCAAAACCGTAACAAACAACTGTGCTCCGATTTTAGAAACAATAAAAAGAACATCAAAGATGGTGTCATACCCAACATCCTTGTAACTCGGTAAAAAAAAATGCAGTTAAAAAAAAGAGAAACACTCATCCAGAGGCTGGTCTCCGCGCGAGCTCGCTCACAGAAGATAGCAACACGCATGGCAAAGTCAACCAAATGCGAGCGGCCCCCAGAGCCCCAGCTGGGCAAGGGCAGAGCTGCTGGCAGGCCCTAGAAAGGCAGGGGCAGAGGCGGTTTTTACTACAAACACACAAGTGCAGGGTGGTTAGGTAACACAGAGCCAGCCAGTCTTCATCACCGCAGTCATTTCTGAAAATACTCTGCACTGCTTAACAGTAAATGATGGTCATCATGGTGACCTTGAGTCTCCAAGAAATAAAGTGTGCTCAATACCCTCGCTGAAACCAGCAGAACGAGCAGTGAGTTTTCTGAAGGCGCCAAAGGATGGTTACCACTTTCGTCACTTCGGTTCAAAGTCCTGAGCTCCGGTTATCTCTGGGTGTCAGGCGTGTGCAACACCTCATTTATAAGTGTTTGGGTATTAACTGTATCCCAGTCTCAGTCATTTAGCGGAAACGGTACCCGAGCTGTTGGTAGAACCTCCACCCGGGTTCAGTGGATTTGTAAAACCTTTCAAGCACGTTTTGAAACGGGATTTCTCCCATTATTTGCAAACATCTTCCACAGGAGAACACCTTCTACCTACAGGGAGACAATTCAGGGCTTATTTGTGAACTTGTTCTCACACCTATGAAATGCTGCATTCTTTCATTTTAAATTAGCTAGTGACTCCTGAGTCTGTTCCTCACCCTCTCCACATTCCCCCCAAAAACAGCACCCCCACTTCTTCCACACACTCCCTTCCCTTCTAGTTAAATCCCTTTGTCCTCCTTTCTTCCCACCCAGCCACACCCACTGCCCATGGCACCACACCCACTGGCCAGCGCCAGCACTGGTGGGCCGTACACAGTTGGGAGCGGCACTGTGAACTCCCCAAGTCCTCCCTCTTGCTGCCCTCCTGGGGCACAGGGGGCTGAAACGCTTATCAGTCCTAACAAGGGCAGCTGCAACCCGCGGGTGTGGGTGGGCCAGGCCCTGGGCCAAAGCGCTGCCCTCACTATCTGTGCAGCCCTCACAGCTGTCCCGTGAGATAGGTCCCACTCCATCCCCTGCAGCTGGGTGGCTGCTGCGGAGAGGTTATCAGGCAATCTAACCACGGTCACAGTGCCTGGACATGCGGAGCAGGGTCTGAGCCGAGTTGTGACCTCAGGGCTCACTCTCTCACAGCACACCAACAGCCTCTGTCCTCCCTCACTGAGACTGTCAGCCTGTCCCTTGTCACCAGAGTGGACACTGCCTGCCTCAGATTCACGTTGCCGGCTTGATCTGACTGCAAAGCACCTATCTGTCTGCATATCAAATGGTAATCACTTCACAAAGTTAGAGGACAAACCAGGTCAAAGGTGGTAGGTTTGGACAGCCTTTAAAATTTGCCGTTTGAAAATCACTTTAACACCAAAGTACGTAAGAATATTACCTGGGGTTACAGTTAGCTGAAAGCAATGAAGCTTGTTTGGATCAGGAAAATGCACTTTACATGTACCTGCAAAAGAAACAGCACATCAGGAAGGTGTGAGAGCGGGGGCAGCTCACGGCGAGGCCGACCACACACACACACACACACACACACACACACACACACACACACACACACACACACACACACACACACACATATACACACACACACACAGAGTGGAATGGGGCTGGGTCTCCTCACCAGCTCTGATAACACCTGTGCCAAAGTGCTCAAATTGTAAACCAGTGACTTTTCCCACGTGATCTCTTCCTGGTAGTCTTTTACTCTTTAATTCCAAATTGAGATGGTTTCTTCCAACCTTTCAGTGGTCACTAACAATAGAGATCTTTTCATGAATTTCAAGAATTATGCTATTTTCTTTAAAAAGAAAAAACCAGGGCCGGCCGAGTAGCTCAGTTGGTTAAGAGCTCGCTCAAGGGTGTGAGCTCTGAGCAACAGGGTCGCTGGTTCGAGTCCCGGCCCGAGCTGAGCTGCCAAAAAGTGGCAGGATGGCTCAGCTAAAAAAATAAAAGGAACAGAAAAAGAAAAAAACTACACCTCAGGGAGATTCACCGATGTGGATGAGGCTGGCTAAACATGGAGAAACCAGAACAAAAGCCCAGGGCAACCAAACCTCTGGTCTGTTCGCCTAGCACCATAGTCATTCACACAGCAAATGGAAGTTAAAAAGAAACGTGTCTGCTAAGTTAGCTCACACCCAGAGTTTTCTGTGGCATCTTTAGAAAATGTCTTCACAACCCAACTGGTAATTTAGCCTGCAACGCTGGTGAAAGGGTGCACTGCTGACTCGAATGGCAATGCTGTGTGCCCACTTGTACCTGGTCAGAGGGGTCTGGACCTGGACAGGAGTTCCCATGGGAGAAGAGCTAGTGGTACAGATACGGCAAGGTAGCCACATCCTACATCTGCCTCCTTCTAAAAAATAGCACAGAAGAATGGCAAATCCCCAGGGAATTTGGGGAGACCACATACAGAAATTGTCACCTACTGACTTTATTTCAGTCCCACTAAAAATATTTGCCTAGTTTTACAACAGTATAAATTTTCATAAAAAATAGGATTCTAAATCAAGACTTGGAAATGGCCTTAGAGACCACCCAGTCCAAAGTCCCCAGTCATGAGAGATGACACGAAGGTCCAGAGAGGTTCAGTGACCAACCCAAGATCACACAGGTTTTTAACAGAAGAAAGTTGAGCTCTCAAATTAAAACTGGCTCATGACTCTTTTCCCTGTACCACGCCTCACGTCATTATTTCATAAACATGCCAAGTGTGACGGACATCTACACATAACGCAGAACTGTTGGTGGGGTTTCTTTTTTTTAACCGATCCTTCAGAAAATCATTGCAGTGTGAAAGGGAACTTAGTCTAGAAGAGCAAGACGGGGGTCTTAGAGATTATATTGTCATATTACTTGTTTTAGGAAAAACGAAATTGGGAGTCAAAGAGTCCAAGACCTTAACCCAAATCACACATTTGAACTGTGTGTGGAATAATTTCAACAGGCTTCGTTTTTCCTGATCTTAGAAGTTGACAGATAAATGCCACCTTTCTTGAAACACATGTAATGAAAACATGACAAGGGTTTGGGAAATGTTTCATGGATTACTTGAAGTTAGATCATTGCATTTGTTCTTACCCTGTAGCACACGCCTTTGTTTTAATAAAGGTACTGACATAGAAATCAATCCCGCTAACATAGACTGGCTCACCAAGAAAAAAGAAATTATCAAGGTAGATTAAAAAATAATAAAACTACTTAAAAAAAAACAAAAATTTTAAAGGTCAAAAAACTCAAAGTTCTAACAAGAACAACAAAAGGTTAAAGGTCAGGTTTTTGTTTTAGTTCAATGCAGGGGCTTTATTAAAACTGCAGAATTAAGTGTTTCCTCTATCAGTAGGCATGGGCTAAGATTCGCATATTTCCATCTATCTAAAAGATAGATTCTTTTTAAAATTTTTTGCAAACAGAGAAACCTCTATAAACCTGCAGCACGGAGCCCCAAATAGTTCTGAATGACTAAACAGCACTGCTCAATGGCAAGTGGTTTCCTTCTCCTTACTAAGTATTTTAGAAAGCTGATTAAACAGATAATAAAGATTTATTCTTTGGAGGCTTCTTATTCCCTCTTTTAGATAACCTCTTTTAGATAACGAAGCCTGGCTTATTTGCATAAAGGGAATCAGCTCCCCCCACTGTGACTGGGGGAGAGGGAGGCAGAAAAAGGGAGGAGGCATGGAACACGTAGTCTCTAATCTGACAGTTCAGCTGCAAGGGCTAGGAAGACGGGCCATGCCTTTGTCACACCTAAGGTATTGAGTTAAAATCCTGGCTTGAAAAAACCAATTATAAAGTTGTATTGTTTTTAAACCAAATTTTTAGATAACGCTAAAGCTACACTCTATGGGTTAAAAACCAATGATCTATGTGAGAGTCACAGTCAAGGACAAAATGAACCACGTTTAAGTGGAAGTTTTTTGTGGTCTTTGATTAAATGCCTGCACGTGTATATACATGCAAGTTGGGGACTAGGGGGAAAATATGGTGGGAGTAGAAAATAGATCACTTTACTTTCTAATTAGAAAAATATCCTAACACATAATTTTAAAAGAATAGGAACAAAAAGAGAGAATAGTATATAATGTATTCGTTACTCAGCTTCGATATTTTGCCAATCTTGATTTGTCTAGCCCAGGGGTCGGCAAACTGCGGCTCTTTGGGTACATACATGTGGCTCTGAAGTAAAATTGAAAATGAAAATAAAACTATCATAGTTTCATTTATAAAAATTTTAAAGGATATTATTCACATAATGATGATTTCATTTGTTTTATGGCTCTCGAATAATTTTTAAATTGTTGTGAGGGACCGGACTGGCTCTTCCGTCTCAAAAGTTTGCCGACGCCTGGTCTCGCCTATTCAAACATATGGTTGTTTGTTTTCCTGGAACATTTTAAACCAAATCATTTGTAAACACTTCAGTAGGTGGAAAGATAACCTTTTACTAGAATCCCAAGATACTTCCTTCTAGTTCTGACTAGAAGGAAACTTTGAAGTCAAGCAGTCCAGTGACTTTTAAGATGTTTTGACCATAAAACACATTTTATATCACAACCCACTATACCACAAATACTATGCTAAAAATAATTTTTTAAGAAGCAATATGTACTTACCCTTAGAAGCTCATTTCACAACTACTTAAGGGTCATGCCCCACAAGTATCTTTCCAGCGTTAGGTGGAGGTTGGAACGGGCCACCTCATCCCGTGTCAGACGGGCCCCCACATCAGGCCCTGCAGCCTTCACCCAGACCAGGGCACCCACATCCAAATACTGCACCCACGTCAACAAACGCCCTCAGCCTCAGATGATTTTTTAACCAAGTATGAGGAGAAAAAGCTCTAAGTCTAAAAAATACTAAAATGGCCAAAGCTTCCAGACTCTGATGGTCTTATAAAACATAAAGGGTTTGCGGAAGGGCTAATGACAGGACAAAAGGAAAAGAAGCTTTGCCACATGTCACCACGTACCTGCCTGCTGAGCCAGCCTGCACACGGTCTGTGTGTGTCTGAGCGGGAGGCCAAGCGTGGTGAGGAGATCTGGCGACACAGAGCAGAAAGGTCGTCCCACCTCATGCTCAAAGACAAATGGCAAGAGCACTTTCTGGACCAAAAACTTGGATGTGACTAGCAAAAATCAGGCTGTCCATCCTGATTTAGGTACCTTTTCACAGGAAGAGGACGTGGGGCCGAATGCCGTGGGAGAGAGAAGATACAAAACCAACCAAACGCACCTCTGCTCCAAGGACGGGAAGCACGGTGGGGCTCCGCTCCCAACGACAGAAACCATCTCATTCTTATCAGAGCCTCGAAGGCTCTGCTACCTGTCTGCACAAAATTAAAACTATGCCTCACATACATGAAACACAGGCTTTTTGCTACGCCAGGTTATTAAGACACAACACAAGCTTCTCCATGCAGTTATTTCACAGCACTTAATGAGAGATTGGGGATGCTATACTTACAAGGTAAGTTAGCTTCAAGCTCTGCAACCTCTGTAGAAACAAAGAGATTGTTGTTAATGTCAGTCAGTTACTCCACATAAAATCACCAGCTCTAAATTGGCAATTTCCTCCACAACACTGAGGAAAAATAAAATAAAAGCTGAACTAACCCAAACCTACACTTAGTCTAAAGTTTAGGTTTTAAGCCATGAAATGGCTTTCAAATATAATAAAGTCACCTGCAGGATGCCACCAAGTGCAGTCAAGGGCCCTTGGAAATTTATTAATACATGAATAAAAGTCATAAAATCAACACAGAAATTACCGATAGGTATATAGTCACCGATTATTTTCTAAAATCGTGTTCCCCAAGTAGCAGAGCTCCTGCCCTCGAAATCTGATTTTATATATATATATATATATATATATATATATATATATATATATATACACACACCTGCGTGTCTTCCAGTTAGTTGTCCGGGTCTGCCTTCCCGTGAGGGCTCGCCCAGTTTGTGCTGGAACTTTCCCAGCGAGAGGAGCCTCTCTCTTTCCTGCTGGGCCGTGCCTGCGCCCTTGCAGCTACATTCCCAGGCCCCACTGCTCTCCTCTGGGGGATCTTCTATCAGTCACTCGTCAGCATTTAAGCTCAGCACCCCTCTGCCAGGAAAAGGCTGCTGTTCCAGAGCTGAGGTCTGGGGGGACACCCAGAAATAACTGGGCAGACGTAACATAACGTGCTCTGGGATTCCCCCCAGCTGTGGAGACGACAGGAAGGAGGAGGTGTTTGAGGGAGCTTCAGAGAACAAGTAGAATTCAGTCCTGCAGAGGTGGGCAAGGTGTCCCAAGGTGAGTGAGCGATGTGCAGAAGCACAGCACACAGACCAGCACAGAGGCCGGAAGGCAAACAGTGCAGCCAGAGCCACGGGAAACAAGGTCGAAAACGGCCAGGACCACGGCGGCCCGAGTACACGCTTCAGAATTCTAAACTTTCTCGTGCAGCAACAAGGAGCTAAGGGAGATTTCTGAATCCAAGTTTCCAAGCTTTGCCTCACAAGGACAACTTCCGAAGGGCAGGCGGAGGCCAGCTGCCCTGTGAGGTGGGCAGGCTGACAGGCAGCAAGGACCCAGCAAAGGCAGGAAGAGTCAGGGTGCCCAAGAGCAAAGCGGGCGGAAGGAGCTGCCAACTGTGTGGGCAGGAGGGGCCTGAGAGGGCACCAGGGCTGCCGAGCCGGGAGGCCCCGGGGGGAGGAAGCTGACGTGTGGGTGCACGCCACGGCCACGGCCCAGGAGTCTCCGCAGGGTGATGCCACCTGGCGCCGTAAGACCGACAAAGGGGAGAGGCTGGTGAGAAGGAAGAATCTGGGCAGGAAGCAGAGGACACAGAGCCTGGAAAGTGACTGATAAGAATCAGGCGGAAAAGTGGGTGACGCGGGGAACATGGTGATTCAATGAACACGGGCCAGACTGGTCTGGGGGATGAGGCCCCAGCAAGGCCATCGGAAGTGATCAGATCCTGCCGAGGCATTCGAAACTGCAGGAGGCAAGTGGCAAGGTGGAAACCAGATTCATAAAACTAAGAGGCAAATGGGTGCTCAAAACAGACGCAGCTATGCCGCCTCCTCGGAGTGAAGCGCGAGGGGCGGCAGAGGCCAGGTGGCACAGCGGAGGGCAGAGCGCTGGCGGGAAGACTGGCAGGTGGCCGTACCGGGAGGCTAGGGGTTCGCGTCGGCTGCCTGAGAACCTGGTAGAGGCCGGTGGCCACGAAACTATCAGCTCCGGGGTCCAGGTACCTGGAATGGCATCCAGGAAGCGGAGTGGGCAGAGGCGGGAGGAGCCAGGAGCGAGAGGCCCTCGTGGTGCCAGGGAGCAGCCGAAGCTCCAGCCAGAGAGCCTTCTTCTCATGGGAGAAACAGAGGCGGCCTCTCAAGGAGTATCAGTTAATCACCCTCTTGCTGCAACCGGGAAGGACCAAGTTTTGTGATGGAATGCGAGCCTGGGACCTGTCTTCTTGGCAGTCTTGTGATGTGGTACATTCAAGTATATTCACTTAACAAAACGATGACAATGGTTCTTGTGACCACAGTGACCTTAAGTCCTGGCTTATCGACTGGCCCAGTCTTGCCCTTCCCTAGAGCAGGGTGCTTGCTAGGAGCGGGGTGCAGTCAAGTCGGGCTGAGGAAGATCGCCATGCTCCCCGGCACCCACACCAGGTCCTCTGACAGGGTAGGGGCCAGGCCCGGCTCTGCTCCAACAGCTCAGAAAGGGCACATTTTAATAAATGACTCATTCACATTAACCCCTTTAAAATCAATGTTATCCATATAGCTAAACTCCATGTTTTTAAGGCAAATACTATTTCCATATTTCATCATACTGTTATTTAACTTTTTGTTGAGAAGAATTTGCCAGAATGGTCTGTGAGGACCCTCCTTTTGAGAGGCTGATGGGAGCCACTGAACCTGGCTCTCTCTGGCAGGCCTATCCTGTCTGCAGTCACAAAAACTCTGGTCATCCAGCTTTACAAAAGCCCAGTGAAATAAAAAACGTGCTCAGAAAACAAACAAACAAACAAACAAACAAACAAACAAACAAACAAACAAACGTGCCCAGAGGATCTGAAGGGGCCACAGAAGAGCCAGGGACAGGGAGAGGTGAAGTCTGGACACAGGAGGGAAGGGAGGCACTGACCAGGGCTTCACAGAAGGGGACCCCACACTGTGGGACAGGGCGTGGGGGGTAAGAGGCTCCCAGGCCGGAGGCCACCTCATGAGGCCAGGGGTCACTGCACCGGCTGCACGGAGTCAGCCGGGAGGTTCCTGCTGGTTTGTTCAATAGTTTTGCTATAAAATCAACCTGCTTAAGTGCACCACTCAATGGTTTTTAGTGAAATTTGGAGTTGAGTGTCCATCACCACCATCGAGAACCAGATGAGCCAACCCTGCCACCCAGCCCACCCAGACCATTACCCCAGAAACTCTAGGTGTGGCTGGAGCCTCTGAGTTGTTCCCTCTCCCCAGGTACAGGAAAACTGCTACAGGTTATTTGGCCAAACTAAAATGTTTACACAGCTATTTACACAGATGGATTTATGACTTCACACTGTCTTCTAGAACTAGCCTCCAAAGATGAGCGTTAGGCTTGCATTTGCACGTTTAGGGTCACCCACTCAAGGAAGGTGGACGAGGGCCGGTGAAGTGCAAGCAAGGAGTACAATCCTGGGGTGACAAGGATTTCAATAAAGACGCCAGGCATTTTAACTCAGCCCAGCAAAGACGGCAAAATCAGCCACGAATGCTCACGCCGTGTTCCTCTCAGGGAGCTGTCACAAATGACACACTGGTGCACGAACACCAAGTCATCAGCTCAGAAGCCATGTACAAGGGGACCATGACAAAGACAAGCGAACTGCCTGACATGCCCAAGGCCTCGAAAGGACACTGCGCCCACCGGCATGGTGGTGAGCAGTCAGGTGGTTTTAAACCACCAAAGTCTCACTGTCACACGCTGCTAACACCTCCACCACGCGCTGGCCCAGCTCAGCCCTTCTGGGAGGCCCCCGGCACTTGCACAATTCCGTAGCTGCACAACTTCCTTCTGAGAAATGAGACTCTTCCTTTGTAACTAAAGACCAAACCACAGAGCACCCCTGAAGCATGGCTGCACTGAAGTACCCGATGACCAAGCCCACCGTTCACCACAGTGGCCCCATGCGGCGCGTGCCTGCCCCCTTCTGCTGCGGGCCTCTCAACAGAGCTCAGCTATCTGCACGACGTCTGCCACTGTCCACGGCGGGGACTGTGGGCTCACCCAGCCCATGCCAGTACCTGGCCCTGAGCCTGGTGCACAAGGGGTGCTCAGGAAATGCCTGACAAACAAGCACACTTGCCAGCAAGGTGGCAGTGCTCTCAGTGTCATGTCCTGAGACGTGAGGCACCTTTCTCTTCGTATTGGGGGGGGGGGGCAGAGGCATTCCAAAGGTGCTGTGGACTGACCTATGCCCCCTAAAGCTCGCAGGCTGAAGCCCTACCCCCCAAGGTGGTGGCATTAGGAGGGGCATCTGGGAGTGAACTAGGGTCAGACGAGGTCGTGAGGGTGGAGCTCTCAGGATGGGGTTAGTGCCCTTGTGAGCAGATACCAGGTGCTCGCAGGTCAGTAAGAGGGCCCTCGCCAGGAACCGAATTGGCCAGCGCCTTGACCTTGGACTTCCCAGCCTCCAGAAGTGTGAGAAATCAGTCTTGTTTAAGCCTGGTTTGTGGTGGCCTGAGCCGACCAAGATACAAGGCCAGTTACAGATGCACACGGCTCTGAAAGAGAGCTAGCTCCAAACCCCATCAGGCACCACCAGGAAGGCAGCTGTGCCCTCTGACCCAGGGAGAGATGGCAGCGCCTTCCACCAGAACCGCTGCCTCTTAGGGTTCTCAAACTCGAGCTTTCTGCCTGAGCGTCCTGCCTGTGTGCCCTGAGCACCTCTTCTGACCTCTCGGCATCCCTTACCTGGGAGGCACCTGACCCCTCCCCGGGGCCCCACCCAGCCCTTCCACTCAGTCTAAGGGCCGTCGAGCAGCACCCAGCCCATGCAGGCGTAGAGCACTCACGGGCCCCTCCACACTCTGGGGGAGCAAGGCTGGACCCCTGAAAACCCACACAGCCCCTGTAGCAGAGACTGGTGTCCATGGGAATGGAGCCCCAAGGCCTCCTATCACCCACTTCAATAAGAGTAGACAGGGCTGCAGTGAGCCCCCGTCTAGCTCCCACAGACCCCCCCCCCACCAGCTATTCAGTACACCTGAGGGGCCACCGAGTTTCCTGGGCAGCTTCGCTGGTTCTAACTCTCCGGCATAGCACGTCAACGTCACGTGAGGGCCAGCTGCCTCAGCAGGACCTCGCGGCGGCACCGCTCTGAAAGACGCACTGTAGCCCGAAACCGCCAGCTTCACAGGCTGCCAAGTGCGCTGAACCATGCCCTCAAAGCTCCTGGGTTGAAGCCATGACCCCACCCCCCACGCGACAGTACTAGGTGGGCCATCTGCGACTGTCCTGCCAACATGCAAACCAAACCCTGAGCCCACCCCAGAGTTCCGGGCAGGACTGAGCGGGGCAGAGCAGTAAATGGCTCTTCTCCTCCCTCTTCCAGGAAGCGCACTGGGATGGGGTCCCTACTGCACCAGCACATGACCGGACTGCCCAAATGGGGCGCTTACAGAGAGGGGCCATGCAGCACCCGCGGGGCATGGACAGGTGGCTGGGCGGCCAGGCCTCTCCGCTCTGCAGCGCAGACCTGGAGCAGGGAGAGCTGACACCACAGCCCGGCCCCAGGACCCGCCTGCTGAGGCAGGAGGGCGCCAGGCAGCTCCTGGGCGCAGGGCTGAGACGGACAAAGGCTGCACGCTGACCGTTCCCTCACTCAGACCTGACCCGGAACTCAGTCAGCGCAATCCCAAACCTGCACATTTCACAAAGGCTAATCTAGGCCGAAGCTTCCTCCCAGCGTGCCTGGAGCCCGAGGTCTTCTGGGATCACTAACAATAGGCTGGCACACAGCAGGCGCCGAAACGTTGGTTGAGTGAACAAGTGAAAGAATGGAATGGCAGATGTGCTCTGATCACAAAAGTGCCAGCTTCTCACAGACAAATAAGTAAGTAATTCTGCCTGAGGGCTCTTTGGGAGGTGGGGACACTGTCAGACTCAACGGCCCCAAAGGTCCACCAGGAAATGCATGAATCTGACACTGTCTCCCCAGTGTCCCCAGCTCCCAAAATTCGGGACAGACAGAGCCCTCAGTCCTAGCCCAGAAACAGTCAATTGTTCTACTACGCCCCCCAGGGACTGCTGCTATGAGCACCGCTCCAGCTCTAGCCTTGAGAACTACCTGGGGGGAGTTGGGGGGGGGGGAACCAATGACGAGCTGCAGTGGCCACGGTGCCAGCATGGCAGAGGCGTCCCCGGTGGGGGACATCCAGGGAGGATGGCCTCCAGCCTTCTGTCTTCAGGCCCGGCCCGTTAGCCAAGGAAAAACCAGGAGCTTCAGCTGTGCAGCCTCCACAGACCCTCACTGCTAGGGACAACTGTCCTGCCAACCGCAGTCTCCCCATCCGTCATTTCACCCCCACAGCCATCTCCACCAAGCCAGATCCCACGCCACGCAAGGTCAAGCACACTTCATTGTCTCAAATTTCTGCGGCCTTCATGGCCCAGACCCTCCACCAGTGAGGGCGGCCAGCAGATGACCTCCTCAGCTCAGTGCTTTCAGAGCCGGTGTGGGGCAGTGCAGACGCCCCCTTCAGGCCACACCCCTCACAGGGCAGCCCCCTTCGGACAGTGCGGAATGCGGTCAGGACACCTGGCCATAGCGCCTGGCGGGGTCAGCGCTGAAGGGCCTTGCTTGCTCTACAGCACCAGCTGTCACAGGCCCTCCCTGAGGCCTGATGTCCCCCTCTGCCCGCTCCTGCTTCCTGCACCTCCCTCCACAGGTCTCGCCCCCACGATACTCCTTTACTATGCTGCCTGGAACCTGCCTACGGACGGCGCTGAGGCCCAGAGACACAGTAACACACTTTCTACCATCTGCTGATCCTCAGAAGGAAACTCGCCCAGGGCCCAAGTCAGCCCAGGGTGACAGTCTTGGCTGGGGCAACCTTGCTAAGCTTGGACACCCTCCTTTTTTCCAAGTCCCAAAAGGGGGGCTTCACGTAGAAGGGACTGCCACCCAGTGCCTCGGCAGCCACGACTCCACTACTCCAAGGACGACAACATGCCTCAAACCCTTCCAGGGCTTGCCTGGTTCCCGGCTTCCTCTGCAGATGGAACCCTGAGCCAGCACCCCGGGAAGAGACTCAGGTCTCAAGGCCCCAGCCAAGTGGGGTGCTGCAGCCATGCCCCATCCTGACCCATAGGGTAAACCTCCTGTGCTGTAACAAGTCTGCATCCAGCCTGGGCTGTGCCGGGCAGAGCAGGTAGCGCCCAGATGTGAACGCTGGTCCTTACTCCATCACCCACCAGGCTGGCAGGCCGGCACCGCATCAAGGTGCAGGGGCAGCGGGAGAAGAAAGAGCCGCCCGGGAGCCGCCCCCGAGCCCCACGCCTTCCTGTCCCCGTGCCTCCCAGGCTCAGTTGTGCCGTTGCGAGAAGGCCCAGCACCGTGAGCATTCACGCGCTCTACTCGCTGGCCACTACGCCAGTTTCGGGACATCAAACGCCTGCCAGCCCGCGGCGGCTCCCTATCAGAACACGAAAGCAGGCAGTTCTAACGAAGCACCTGGCCCTCGCTTCCTAGCTCCTTACGCTTAGGAAATGCAAACACATGTCATGAGTAAAGTGCCGCGGATGGTAGCTCCTTCCCGGCAGGAACTGTTTCTTCCTCGTCTCCGCGGTCCTCATGACCTAGGAAACTACCTTTGCACCTGAGAGTTGTAAGTCTGTTCCATGAACGAACGCGAAGTGCCACCCAACGCGTGCGTATTCACATACTCACATGCTATAACCCTCCTCCAGAGACTAGGACACTTGTTAATTCTGTGAAGAGAAGGCGTTTTGCACAGGCCCTCGCAGTCTTTGGAATAAAATGGGGAAGGATCCTACAAGGTCACCTAATCCCACTCCCTCCCTTTACAGCGGGGACACTGACGCAGAGGAGACAAGAAGGAACGAAGCACCCCCTCCTGCCACACCAACCAGATGAGGGCAGCGCTGAGACCCGAGTCGCAGGCCTGCTGGCTCTTGGTCCGTTCCTTCCTCTAGCTCTCTGACGGCCCCTACTGAGAGTACCCCAACGACAGAAGACACACCAGTTTCTAAGGCCGTTTTCTCACCATCAGCATTCCCATAGCCCGTGCTTGGTACAAAGTCCTTTCACTGTAAGCAATTACATTTTAAAGTATTTTCAAACAGGTATTTCTATTCAGCAACAGGCTGCTGCTCACGTCCCCAAAGAGCCCAGCCAGACTTCACCTTGTCACAGGCGCTAAAGCGCGCACGGGGGTGACAGTACCTTTGACGAGCAGCCTGTCCCTCACAGATACCCTCCGCGTCGAGTCAGAGGCTGCGGCTGGCGGCCGGGACCCTTTGAGACCGTCGTCCCGCTTCAGTTTGCTTGCCAGCGTCAGCATCACTGCCACCTACCCTGAAGGACAGACCGGAAGCAGTTAGGACAGTCTCTGGACAGTGACCGGACACTGACAACAACGATGGATGGTGGTTTTCATTTACTTTTAATTTAGTTATAGAAAAATTTAGCATATAAGGTACGTTAACAAGACTGGATTCCTTCATAATGAATTTGGGTAATCTCTATGCCATCCTCATAAGTCTAATTTCTTAAAGTATAAATTAAAACTTTAAAAAGGGAGAACCATGGATTTAACACTGACTGGGTGCCAGCCCTGGGATGCGGAGGTGACAACGCCCCTGCAGAGCCTCGGCCAACAGGTTCCCCGCGGTTCCGCCACCGTCCAAGGTAAGTCTGTTCTTCCCGTTACAGGGCCCACGGGCCTGGCCCATCACAGACCGAGGGGAGTGTCCTCATCTGGTGAGGAGAGGACCATGCAATGCTTTCCCTTCTTCCTTTAATAAAGGTGTAGCTAGAACCTTAATAAGCATCTGCGCACTTATTTGTTTTTTTATTTACAGCTTTAGGCAATATCGACATCAAGTTATATTAATGTCCCAAACTAGACTGTCTGCACTGGCTGCTGCCAACCCATCTGTTCCAGGCTCCCCCACTGAAAGGTCACCAGGATGGACAATAAGGACCAAACGCAGGTGATGCCCTGACTGCTTGGGAGCAAGGGCTAGAGACAAGCCACCAATTTTTGTCGGTGTAACCGCCCTCTGGACTCTGCCTGTTCTCACGTGAGCTGCCATTTCCTGACACGCCTCCCAGCTCCTGCTGGCTTTAGCACAGCTGGCAAGGGACTCTGGAGCTTTTGACTGAGGACACAAATTGGTCACCAGCCCAATAGTTCCATAATTTCCTTTGCTGCTTTAATATCATTTCCTTTCAATACCATTCTGATTGTTTTCAAAAGAAAATGATCTAAAACCTCCAGAGGGAAACGTGGCCAAAATGCAAACTTTTTTTGAGGCCAAGATCGTGAAAGCTGAAATGTAAGGATACCACTTCCCTATGGATATTTTAACCATTTTTATCCAGATCCCTTATATAGCCTCTCGTATCATCATCTGTATCCCTCCCAGACTGTGTGACTTTGTTTTCTATTACTTGTACCATGAAGACAACACATTAAACATGACCTTCTAAATTATACACAACTTCTGCACATACACCCCTCCCCCGCAAGCCCTTTAAGAATCCCTGATCTAAATGCTTCAAAAGACACTTCAACTACACGTTAACATTCACAAGCCCTGAGGACTTCAAATCCAGGAACGACTCGTCTCCCCCACTCGCACTGTTTTTTACAGACGTGGACCTGGGACAATGGGGCCCAGGAACTGGCTTGTCTGAGGCCACGGAGTTGCTAGAGGCAGTCACCGCAGAAACACTCGTTTCCCTCTTGGAGATGATGGCAACTCTCGCCTTGAGTGTGCTGACGGTTTCAGGGCTACGTACGTCGGTCAAGACGACTAGATCACACACCTTAAACATGTGCAGTTTGGGGTACTTCAATTATTCCTCAAGAAAGTGGACAAAATGTGAAAGCAACCAACACTGGCTTTCTCGTTCCCTCTACCATGCCATCTCCTCAGGCGGACCTGCACAGAGGCAGGGCCACAACCAACAGCCATCTTGTCAGCCTTCCCCAGGGCAGGGAGCTCCAGGCTGTGAGGTACCTCACAAAGGGGCGGGGCTGGGCCCGAATCAGGAACACCTGTGGGGGCTCCGGCCCCGAGCTGCCAGAGACAGATCTCTTGCTGAGCCCACCCGGAAGCCCTTACACAGAAGTGGATCACAAAGCAGTGTCTGCCCCAGCCAAGTCCATTGCCATGAATCCAGGCTTGAACACATCAGTCCTACCACATCGTCAGGGTCACCTGATGACAAGCCAGACATGCACCCATTACTTGGGGACTGGCTGGTAGCACCAGATGCACCACACAAAGTCCACTTGGTTTTTATCCTCTAGCTGACCTTGGCAATGAAACATGGCAAAAAATAAAAGCACGGCGTGTCTAAAGAGACGTCAGCAGGCAGTACACTAGGAGTCACAATAGAGACCCATGGAAAATCGAGGGCCTGGGCACATGGCCTGGTCCACACCCAGCTCCGAGGACCTGCACAGAAGGAGCTGCTCAGAGGGTGCTGGCAAGACTCACTCACACGAAGAAAGGCTCACATCCAGACACTTGTGTGTCACTGAAGTCTGAGGACCCCGCTTTGTTCTTTTATAGTCCCCACTAGCCTACGGTGAATCCTTCTGTGGGCAGAGTACGCCCCATACTCAATTCCACTAGAGTCAGGTCCCAGCTCACGCTCTTCAACAAGTTTGTGGCCCTTGATAAAACACGCTGGGCATGGATGTGCAAGGTATAAAAGAAAATAACATGGTGTTTTGTTTTCCATAGAAGGTAATACAAAACTTCTTCTCCCAGCATTCTAAGAAATACAAGTATATAATGACCATCTATTTCTCCATCATCTGTATTATTATCATATGCCACTTTGGGGATAAAAGGCCTAATTTGGGAGTGTATCCAGAGCTGTTAAATTAACTCTATATAGAGAAATTTGAACAAAATAATTATTCAAACTGCCAAGAGGTTTGCTGAACAGACACACTTGCTTCAGAATTCTCTTTTCTTTCTTCAGTATGTTTCAGCCCTTGAAGACCTGGTTTAAAACTAAACTTCCCCTTTATTGCGAATCACACTCTGACTAAGGCAGTATTTTCCATAACAGATCAGTTATGTTGAACAGCCTGCTGAGTCTCTAAATTCCACAAGTCGGAATTGGCCCATTTAAGTCCCTCCTCTGGGTGGGACTTGCTTTCAGACTGTTCAAAGATGATTCTTCTGTACTATTTACTAGTTTCATCATCAAGTAATATTTACTCAGCACACCTGCCCGCAGTGGCAAAATCAGGCCATGTCACCTGTACAGGAACATGGGAGCGAGTCAGCTCATGGGGTAGAGATGTCCGGGAACTCCTGTTTACAATTCTTCCTGCTGCGGAAAAGTCCCAAACTAAGTGTAAAAGATGGAACTGCAGGTCACTAGTGGACAACCAGGTTCTCCAGCCAGAGGCCCAGATCGGGACACAAAAAAAGTCCCCACTTCGCCCTCCTCCCGCAGAAAAGCCAGGGCCCAGGAACCTCCCACCTGGCACAGGCGTCACCCCGGTGGACTGACCGACCTGTGGAGCCCAACCCTTGTATTTTCAGCAGTAAACCTGCCCCCACCCCTGCACAGCCTGCTACCTGAATGGCAGGTATGTCTAGGCGGAGGTCCTCAAGCCCCACACCACGCAGCCTGGTGGTGACTGTCTGTGAACACGCCTCATATGTGTACCCTCCCCCATCTTCATCCCCTTACCCAGCCAGAAAACCTCTGCAGGCGGCGGGCCAGCCTCTTCCTCAACACTCCGCTCATTTCTGGAAGCTTCTGTTCAATGTGATTGATAGCCAGGTCTGGAATGCCCTCTTTCCCTTCCCCACCTAATCCTACTCCTTCCATAGAAAGAACAGCTTCCTATCTGGATTCAATCTCCTCCAAGAAGCCTTCTTCCAGTCCACCCAGGCCCGCTCCAGAGCTGGAGGGATGCAGCGAGGGGCGGGCCCAACCCCCTCCGGTAACACGAGGAAGCTGAGCCCCACCGAGGGGAGGACCACGCCCAAGACCACACACCAGCGGAACCAGGTCCAGAACCCAAGATCCGGCTGTGCTGATCTTTCCAAGATGTCCTCCCCTCTGCTCTGCCCCCGGTAGCAGCTTCCGAACCAGCCGCGGCCGCCCCCAATTGCGAGGCAGCTGCAGGCGAGTTGGCGCGGAGGGAGCGTCGCTCCTCCGGACCCTCACCGCTCCCTGGCCTGGCCCCACTTGCAAGGCAGTCAGGAGTCGGACCGCCGGCGTCCGAGTCCCCGCTCCCTCCGGCCACGTCGGGCTGGTGACCTTGGGCTGCGCTCGGCCCTCCGTTTCCTTCTGGACAATGCGGCCGGCGGCGCGGGCGCAAGCGAGGCCGTGTGTGCGCCCCGCACAAGTCGGTGCTCGGTGCGGGCGGCCCCTCGAGCCCAGCCAGCGGCCCGGCCCCGGCCCTTCCCATTCACGCCGCCCGGCCCCGCACCCCGCGGCCCGCGTCCTGCGCGCCTGCCCGGCGCCCGGCGGTGAGGAGCGGCGCGGCCTGAAGCAGCCCCGGCGCCGCCCGCCCTTCGGCCCACCCGGTGCACCGGCGCCGCGGGAGCCGAACCTCCTGGAGGCCTGCGGCCGCCCCTCGCCAGCCGCGGGGCCGCGCGCTGCTCACCTGGGCACCCCGAGACAGGCGAGGCGGGCCCGGCGCCCAACACCATGCCCGGCCGGCCGGCGGCGGCGAGACGCGGGCCCAGACAGCCGCACCGGCTCCGGGCGGCGGGACCGGAAGTGGCGGGGCGGGGAATCGGCCGCTCTCGCCGGCCGCGGCAGCGAAGGCAGCGGGCGCTTTAAAAAAAAAATTCAAAGCCCTGAAGAACTTTATTTTGACAATGATATGCGAACAGCGGTGTGCGCCGAGTGGGGCTGGGCCTCGCTCATTGGCGGAAGTCTTGGTCGGGGACGGGGGCGGATCTCGCGGCCCCGGCTGATTGGCGAGTGGCTGCTGGGGGCGGGGCCTCCCAGGCTGTTCCTGAGCCTGCGCGCCCCAGCGCCCCCAGCTCTGCGCCGCGCTCCTGCCTCCTTTCGTTTGGCTGTGTGCTGGACGCCGGAACTGACCGCCTGGATGGATGTCCCCGCTGTGTGCCCAGCACAGCGCCCAGGATGCAGAGGACCGGGCCAACCCCACATCCTGCAGTGTAGGAGGTAAGGGGGGCGGGACAGTCAGAAGTACGAACAGCCACCAATCCTCGGAGTGAGGCTGAGGCCCTTTCCTGTTCTTGTCTTAATGGTTTTTATTGCGTCTTTCATCTTACACTTGTGCCCCTGTGTGATTGGTAATAGGCTCGGCTCCTGGAGGAGCCATCTGGACGGGGAAGGAAGAGCCGAGGAGTTAGAATTTTATTTCCAGGAGCCCCGTCGAAAGGTTTTAAGCAGTGGAGTGACAATATCAAGTTTTCTTTCTGAAAGAGGCTTCTGGCTCTGAGTGAGCTGATGGGAGGGGAGCCAGGCGGAGAGGAAACCAGTCAGGAAGACCAGTGAAGAACACAAGTCATGGTATGCCTTCTGTTTGGGAACAGTTTCCTTCTCCACCTAGCTAACCCCTGTTTTCCTAAGCGTGGAGATGTGGCACAATCAGCTCCCCGAGCCGCACTGCCTTTTCCTGCAGCTGCACATCTGTGATTCTCCCCGCTTCAGATCAGGCCCCTGGAGTTTGCAAAGCCCTGGGTGAATATCGCACAGGAGAGAAGCAGCCATAGTAAGTCAGTGCCCCACATGTGCAGGAAACATTCTCCAGGCATGGTTGTTGGTGGCTGGCTGCAAGTGCAGCCTGGGAGCTGGGCGTTCGGGAGGCCTCACTCAGGGGCGATGTGGGTGCTATCAGCCCAGAGCTCCTCGTGGCACACTTGCAAGGATTTAGGATACTAAACTCACTCTTAAGGTGAGGCACTGCTGCCCGTGTTTTATATTTTGTGTATGACCGATTGTTTTGATTGCTCTAGGTATCTGACATTGTCCACTTCGGTGAGTGCTGTGGGCAAAATGCCACAGAACACTGCTTTCCATTTTTAAAAAGCCAGGGTTGAAAATGTCTATCCATTAGCGTGTATGTGAACATTGAGTGAGTAAGACGGGAGTGTGATCAGACGCGACAAACAGCTCATGTTCTGAGCATCTGGAACAGTCCAGGGTGGAGTTTGTGCTCTGCATCTGGGGCTGCAACCCCGGGACCACACTGGGGTCACCCAAAGCAGGCACCTGGCGCGTCAAGGCAGTGCCACCTTCGGGTAGAACCTCTCCCCCTGCGGCCACAGCTCTCTCGCTGGAGACTGGGGTGAAGAACCATCATTCCGGTGACTCCTTGCCAAACCATCATGACTAAAGTCCCACACCGGAACTCTGGGAACAGCAATGCTATTTGTGAAGAGGCATCACTATGCGGAGAAGACCTGGACTGCTTCCTCTGCTGGCCCCCGGCGACCCCACACAACCGCTGAGGAGGGCGGTAAAAGTCCTAAAGGCCTTTGAATCTTTTGACCCAGTAATTTCATTCAAGGGTTGGCCCGAGGAAGTATCTGATAGTGGGAAAGGCCATGGCACAGAAACACCCATCGTGTTATAGAACTTGGAAGCAATCTCATGCTCAGTATTCAGGGAATGGTGAACTCAATTACTGCTCATTTACTTACAGGAACATTACCCAGCCAATAAGCTTGATCATTATGCAGATTATGTAAAACCATGAACATACTAATTAAGTTAAATGAAACAAGCAACATTCAAATTATATAAAGTCAATGATTACAATTCTGAAAAAGACCAATATGTGGGCAGAGACTAGAGGAAAATGAACAAAAATTAATGATTTTTATGTCTGGTAGGATTATGAGTGAATTTTCCTCCTCTTTTTTTTTTTTAAACTTTCATTTATTTTCTTTTTGTATTATCTTCATAGCAATACAATACAAAGGTCTTTTTAACACATGATTGATCCTTAAAGTTGGAACACAGATCTGTGTCAGATAAGTGATGTTAATGCTGTTACTTGCTAGAGAAATAAATACGGAGAAGCGTAAGGCTTCCCTGGACAGATCATTTAAAAACTTGATAATCCAAATCATGCTTAGAAAGCCTTTCTGATTTCCAAGAAGACAAAGTTGTTTTGAAATAAATGGTGACTATTATATTTTAGGTCACATCCACATGGCAGTAGAGCTGCCCCTCCACATTCAGATCCATTCAATGAAGTTCTGAACGTGCATTTTCTATAGGAAAATACAGGCTGCCTCATGGCAGTCCCCGAACACATACTGCAGGGAAAAGCAGACACTACCCACATCTGAGAGGCCTGGAGAATGGCCCTTGGGAGCATTGGTGCAGGTTACGATGGAGAGGCCACGTGCGGTAGGGTGAAGAAAGATTCAAAGACTTCTACACTCACCATTATTACTCAATATTCTGGACGTTGTGGCTAACACAGTAAGGCACACACCAGAAATAGAAGATGATTATTTGAAGGGACAAGGCAACATGGCCATTGCATAATGAAACAATGCGATCCACTCCCTAGAATATCCAAGAGGCAACTAAAAACTGGAAAAGGGAATCAGAGAGATGAACGAAGTGACTCAACTAAAAAAAATTTTTTTTTAAATCAATAGGTATATTTTCCATATCAACAGCAACAGATTAGAAGTTATCAGGAAACCCATTTTACAATAGGGAGTGGGAAAGAAAGACAAGTGAAATATTTAAATAACCTTATTGGCAAATAGGAGTGATCTGGGTTGTGAGAATTAATAATGGAAACCAACTGAAATTGGAGTTTGAGAGGCCTGTCGAGGCAGTGGTCACACCCTACCACCTCATCCATTACCCCAAACATGAAAAGACCAGACCTTGGCATCTCCAACAGGAAGATGTATTATGTGCTGACTACCCCTGGAGGAAGAAGGAAGATTTTCTTCTGGACCAGCAACAAGCCCAGCCAATGGAAAAACACCTCAACTCAGCCAATGAGAAGCCTTCATCACCCTGAACTCTTTTCTCCAATGAACTTTGATGTTTCTTTTGCAATTACTTCCTTGCCCTAGTCTCCTTTCTATAGAAGCCTTCCATTTCATACAACTCCTTGGAGTTTCTCTCTGCTTGCTAGATGATATGCTGCCCAATTTATAAATCACTTAATAAAGCCAATTAGATCTTCAAATTTACTGAGTTGAATTTTTTTTTGTTTGTTTAAGAGGATAAAGAAAGTTACAAACTTTATGTCTGTCAAAATGTACATGGCAGATGTGCTTGGGACCCACATCACGTGAAGGAACCAGCCAAGAACCTAGAGCTAGCAGGGGAGAGTGGGACCTGAGCCGAGGATGGCTGAGGCCATGGGCTGTCAGGTGGGGAGCAGGTGAAAATAGCACCCTATGACTGCTTTGCTGCTTTCAGCAGCAACAGCCTGGAAGCCACTTAAGTCTCCACCCACAGGGCCCTGGGAGAAATAAAGGATGGGACTGATGGAGTGAGTCTGGGCAGCTGTGCACGAGAATGAGCAAATGTACACCTCCTGGCATTAAAAAGTGCTCTTGAGGGCCGGCCAAGTGGCGTGTTGGTTAAGAGCTGGCTTGGGATGCCCCTATTTGGATCCCACATATGAGGGCCAATGACACTGCCCTCTACAGCTAAGATGCTGAACAACAGCTCAACCTGGAGCTGGGCTGCCGTGAGTTGCCGGCGACAGTGTAGGCTGCAGCCCCTGTGGCAGTGGGCTGCCATGGACTACCGTGTGTAGCCAGCAGCCAGCGTGAGTGGCCAGCAGCCAGTGTGAGCGGCCGTCCAGAAGCCGGCGACTGATCTGCCTCGCCCGGGAAGAGCGCAATGATGGTGCCAACTTGGGCCAGTGAAGCAATGTCCTCCACAACTAGACTGAAGAACAAAAGGACAGCAACTTGTCTATTCTCCTTCCCCCAATTCTCCAGCGCTGTTCCCATCCCCTAATTCCCCAATTAAAAAAAAAAAGTGCTCTTGACCTTAAAAATAAAAGTCAGTTATTTTACCATCAAAAATGGTTTACTCGGGAACAGCGAAGAATTGCAATTCAGGACAGGCAAGCTATAGCAAAAGCTTTAAGTAAGTCCAACAAACAAAAGAGAGGAACGTTATGTTATGGGGAAAAAGGAGGAAGTTGGGAGGGGTTGTTTTGAACAAAAGTCCATTGGAGAAAATCCATAGTTGAGGGAGATGACCGTTTCTCCTTGGCTGAGTTGCTGGGGCAGCCAATTTCTTGTAGGAGATGCAACATCCATCTTTTCCTGTCAGGGCCTGTAATTGGTGATTGTTTCCTGTTGACAATTCTGTTGGGATCTGTAATTGACATTCTTCCTGTGACTGACATGGAGCCGTAGGTCCTGTGTGAGAGCGCCCCCTTCTGGCCTCCTGACTCCATTTTATTGAGGTTTCCCTTTACTAATTTTCACAGTGACCACCATATATCATAAAATAAAAAATGAGTGGCAAGATGGCATGACTAGTATAATGGCACTTGTGTAAAAACAGTCTGTTCAGATATTCATATATTTTCAAACTATTAAAAAATATTTACAAGCATATTTACAAATACCTGTATTTCCCCGTCCTTTTCATTTTAGCCATTCTGATGGGCGTACAGAGATGTCTCATCGGAGTTTCTACTTGCCTTTCCCTGATGACTGTGGTTCCTGTGGCTCCAGGGGCCAAGAGCCTCAGCGTCAAGTTCTTTGCCATTTCTGAGTCTCTGCAGAAGACTTCCCTTTCTTCCTCAAAAATAGCACAGCAATCAAATGGATGGAGGCCAAGGATTGGGTGGGTCTGTGGACCAAGGGCCGAGCACAAGGCCAAGGTCACTGGGAGGAACTCTGCCGGGGGAGGGTCACAGTGAGGGGTGGGTGCTGTCGGCCGGTAGTCACCTCTGATCCCGGGTCACAGGCGACCACGAAAAAGCTAGGATGGGACTCCATCTAACCCGAGCTAAAATGGAAATGTTGCTTGGGAAACGGCGGGCCAGGCTCTGCGTGCTCTCTGACCGAGCCTGTTTCCATTTGGCATCACAGGTGTCAGAGAAAAAGTTAAGGGTGGCAGAACGCAGAGCAGGCTGTCTTAGCCCCTGGAAACTAAAGGCGTGGTCCCCGTGTGGCGTTCTCCTCACTGAGGACCGGTTGTTGTAGGAACAGGTTCCCATGGCTGCCTTTACTGGGGTGGGAGATGCGTGTCTGAGTGAACGCAGGCACCACAAAACCAGAGGGGCCGCCCGCATGGGCCCACGGGTGAGATTTGCACTCGCAGCTCATGGGTATCAGTGTCCCACAGGTGAGAGCCAGGCTCCGTGCCAGGAGGACCTTGCCGCCCTGGCGCTGCCTTCCCTTCAGAAGGGTCTGAGCTTCTCCAAGCCACAGGTCTTCATCTGTGTTGGTGAGTTGGGGATCTTCATAGTACTTGCCTTAAAGGACCGTTGGGAGAAGCAAATGGGGTGAAATCTGTGAGACATGGTAAGTGCTCAGTAAACCGATGGCATTGTCTTTATAAATTATGAGAATTAACCATGACACTAGATTCTGAAGTTCTGTACCTTCTATGTTTATTATTAACTGGAAAACAGCCTTGGGCTGGGCCAAAGATGGCTGGGAATGAATTTAACACTTTGAGGTTTTTGCGTAATATGTAATTGTGACATTGCAACTGAGATGGATTGTGTGTGTGTGGGGGGGGAGGGCGGTAGTCTGCCCCCACCCTGTGACATCTGTGATAATCTTTGCTCTGGAAAGATCAGGAGTTTTATTTGGGACTCCAACTGACTTGGATGCTTTGTTTCCAGAGACCCACCCAGCAACGTAAGAAAATAAACAAACTCTAGAAACTGTGAGTTTTGAACTGCCTTAGGTAAAAACAGTCAGAAGTTCCAGAGAAAATATTTCCAGCTTTCTGGATGTGTTTGAGGACTAGAAAAGTTGGGCAATGGCTGGGAGACAGAGTGTAGTGTAAACTCAGCTGCGGAGACATATGGTCTGTTGGTGGAACTGGCGTCAGACCAGATATGAACCCTCAGGGAGGCATTGCTCTGAAGAAGCCTGTCATCCACAGGTGGCATTCGGGGCTGCCTTGGACAGTTGTGCGAGTGTGCACAGCAGTGCACAGCTCAGGGCCACCATTGACTACACATCACGGCAAAAGCTTTGGCCGGGGTGCAGCCTTTTGGCTTATCATGTCAACCCCCTTTGCCTTTCTGGGCCAGCCATGGGAATCTGAGAGCCTGCCAGGGCACAAACCCTGGAGGCTTTCCTGATCCTGGCAGTGTGGCACCCCACAACTTCCCCAAGGGCCCCGCCAGAGGCAGATCCAAAATCTGTAGCAGACAGACCCGAGGGTGGCCCCCAAGTTCACACCTTGTAATACATAATCCCCTCCCCTCGTGCGTGGGTGGGACCTGTGACTTGTTTGTAACTCACAGAATATGGAGAAGTGATGGCTGTCACTCCCATGACTACATGACGACATGTATGGGTAAAGCTCTGCCTTACGAGCACTCTAGAGGTTCTCTTTGCTGGCCTGAATAAGGAGCCATGCTGTGGACGTTCACCTAGCAAGGACCGGAGGGGACCTCCTGCTGGCAGCCCCCCGAAATGTGGCCCCATCATCACTCAGCTGAAATGTGAATCCACCATCAACCCCAATGAGCTAGGAAGCTGCCCTTCCCCCACTGGGCCTCCAGGTGAGACAGCAGCCCCGCCGATGCCTGGATGACAGCCTTGTGAGGCCCTGCGGTCTCAGAGGACCCAGTGAGGCCTGGTCTGGACTCCTGACCAGATAAGAAATGTGTGTTGTTTTAAACTGCTGACTTTGGGGTACTTTGTTACACAGCAACAGAGAACTAATACAGAGGGCCCGGGGAGCACAGTTCGGCTGGAAGGGAAAACGGGACTGTCTTTAGGTGGCGAACAGGCTGTTCTGTGTTCAGTTATGCGTTTATTTGGGGTGGCTTGGGGGTGCTGATGGAGTGTGGCAGGCAAGTCCCTACAGGCCCCCCTGGACTCAGTGACTGGAAGCAGGGCTGGAACCTGGCTGGGGAAGGGGCGTTTGCTCAGAACATTCTGGTACAAGTAACTTGTGAAAAGGGTTGTTGTTATTGTTTTAACTTTTGGACCCGGTTTGGTTAGGTTAGATATTAAAAATTATAATGTAATACCTAAAATGTTATGTAATACATGAAAATATAACACAGGAGTACTGTACAAACAGCTGAAGAGGGCGCACAGCCTCCTCCCTGACCCCAGTCCCCAGAGTCTCCCCCAAGGCACCACTGTTAAGTTTCTGGTTTCGCCTTCTAGAAATTTTCCATGAACAAATGGGGTCACGTGGCTGTGCTCTTTTCACGTCACAGAATGCTAGTGAGGCCATCCCATTCCAATACCCACACATCTGCCCCGTCCTTTGTAGTGGCCACATGGCTGTGCATCGTGTGGGCAGATGTGTGTTCCCTGCCTCGCCCCACCTGGCAAAACGCGCAAATGATCCTGCTGAACAAGCCACAGTTCAAGGTCAAGATTGTCTCCGTCACGCACAACCGAAGCCATGTCCCCTCACCTGAGAAAAGCGAGCAAGACTTGCACACTCTGACTCCGCCAAACCCAAGCCAGCACCTGCTGGGTCCTGCTGGCCAGGCCCGGGTCCCGGGCTGCCCCAAGAACTGCAGGGGCAGCTCTGAGGGTTTGTAACCGAGGCCGCTACCAGTGGGTTTCCTGAAGCACAGAAACAGCTGCCCAGGGCTGACTCTCTCCACTCTAGGGACAGAGGCACCTGCTTGCTACTTGCTCCACCCCTGCCTCCTCTACACGTCCGCCCAGCCCCTTCCCTGCTCCAGGTGTGGGGTACATCTGTAACCTGCAGCCCCCACCCCAGGGAAAGCCAGAGGAGGCCGTTACAGCACTCTAGAGCATTCACAGTGATGTCTGTTCTTCAGGCCATGCCTATAGATTACAGCCTGGAGCCATCCTTCAGCTGTGGGGGTTGGGGTCCCCCTTACTGCCTCCTACGGAGAGCCCAAGGTGGCTTCAGGTGATGAAGGCTGCCAGGCTGTCACAGGCTGAGCTCCAGGCGCCTCTCCAGGGACCAGGACCCATCACTGTCCTGGCGCTGTGTCACCTGCCTGTGCTTAGAACAAAGAATCCAACAAATACTCATTGAGGTCTCAGCAGCCATGAGGACAGGAAGCTGATATGACATCTGCCCAGCATGTTGAGTAGCCCAGGAGAGAGGGTCATTTTTGATTGGCTGCTTGATCAGCTCCAACAACACCTCTCTAAAACCTTTCATATTTAGACCACCCTCGTTCGAGCCGCCGCCACAGTCATTTTTGCATCGTATTTGCATTGTAGTGTCAGATGTTTTCATTCGACAATCTACGGGGACACTGACACAAAGACTGGTGGGAGCGGGGCGGCCACTGTTTTTATCTTTTTAAAATAAATGTTTTTCTGCAAAGAGAGAGTGGAGAGCTCCCATGGACCCCACCTTACTTAACCCTACCATTAACATCTTATATTCGTGTGGCAATTTGTTCCAATCAAACATGGATATATTTGCTTTGCGCCAATATGGATGGATATATGTCATTCGTCATCCACGTCTGTACTTTATTCACATGTCCGTAGTTTTCCCCTAATGTCCTTTTTATATGCAGGATCCCACCCAGGACACCACAGGACATTTAGTTGTCACATTTCCTAAGGCTCTTCTTGGCTGGAACAGCTGTTCAGACTTTGCTTGTTTCTGATAACCTTGCAGTTTTGTTTTGTTTGTTAACGATTTTATTGGGGATTGGGGTAGGGGAACAGACAAGTTGCTGTCCTTTGGTTTTTGAGTCTAGTTGTGGAGGATGTCGCTTCACTGGCCCATGTTGGTATTATCATTCTGCTCTTCCCCGGTGAGGCAGTTGCTCGCTGGCCATTAGACGGCCGCTCACAGCAGCTCATGGCAGCTCATGCCAGCTGCCTGCCACTCGCGGTAGTCCACTGCAGCCTATGATATCGCCGGGGACTCACGGCAGCCCAGCTCCAGGTCGAGCTGTTGTTCATCATCTTAGCTGTAGAGGGCACAGCATCACTGGCCCTCATGTGATATCCAAACCGAACTGGGGCCCTGCTGCTCAGAGCTGGCGCTCCCAAGCCAACTCCTAACCAATGCACCACTCGGCCAGCCCTGACTTGGCAGTTTTGAGGAGAACTGGCCATGCATTTTGTAACCTATCCCTCAAGTTGAATTTGTTTGATGTTTTTCTCATGATGAGATGGAGGTTGTTGTTTCTGGGAGGCAGACCCCAGAGGGGAAGCACCATTCGTTCTCAAACACATCATCTTAAGGATATATGTTATCCGTGATGTTAACTGTGACTATCTGGCTGAGCTGGGGTCTGCCAGCTTTCTCTATTGTAAAGTTACTTTTATCTTACTATTGTCTTTTTTTGGGGGGGGGCAATTTAAAAAATTGAGACAGAATACATTTAACCTAAAAACTCACCGTTTATTAAAGTATCCAGTTTCATTGCTTTGAGTCTATCCCCCATTTTATGCAGCTATCACGACTGTCTAATTCTAGAACATTTCCATTATCACCCCAAAAAGAAACCAGACCTGTTAGCAGCCACTCCCCATACCCCTTCCCTCCAGTTTGGAGACAATATGCCAAAATGTATGTTCAAAGTTACCTGAACGGTGAGAGTTAAGGCTTCTTGTTTATTTTCTTTTGTTTACCTGTATTTTCTACAATGTAGTTACTTCTACAATAAAGTTATTTTTAAATGGCACTTGGCATGACAGAAATAGAGGGAAACGCTGACAAGTTAAATGCCTAACCCCAGAGGCCTGGCGGATGAAGGCGTAGTTCACCGAGGGATGAATTACTATGCAATAATTGAACACCCCCCACATGCCTGGCACTGTTTTAAGCACTAGGAAGTTCTCTGGCCATTCTGCGCTGTGCATGTGAATATGACTTTAATGAAAGAAAGGGAGTGGAGGAAGTGAGAGAAGGACACTGTGCAGGTGACAGGCCCTGTAACAGGAGCTGATGGGTCTCTCCTGGTGGCCTCTGACTCGCGTGCGCCCCTAGCAGATGGCTGAGTGCTCAGTGCAGGTTTTTTTTCCCTTGTCCACCAGCCTGGCAGCTCCTGTGCAGACTGGCCAACTGCACCCTACTTTACTTTCTAGATATGCCTGCCCTCCTGCAAGCCAAGTTGGGACCCAGCTGGTGGCAGCCAGGTGTCCTCCAAGCCAACGAGGGGGCAGGAGAGGCACCCCAGGCACAGCAAGTAGCCTGGGTGGGGTGCCTGTCTCGTCTGTTTCCTGATCTATAAAGTATTTCCAGTTGTGAGTGACCCTGGACTGGGGGCAGGACTTGAAATCTAGGAAGCAGTTATATTTTAAAAACCACAAGGAAGGGAACTATAAACTAAGGAAGTCCCCCTTCAAAACCCATCAACAGGAATTCACTGTGCTGTTGGAACCAGTTTTGGAATTTTTTTTTTTTTTTTTTTGCAAATTCGGGGGTTGGGAAGAAAGAAGGGCACTGGAAGGGCAGTTCCTGTTAGCCACCTTGGGCTGGGATGAGGGGCTGCGGGCCTGTTAGGTTTCGGGAGCTGAGCGAGACAGCAGGGGTGATGGGGGCTGTGGGGCAGACCGGGGACCTGTGGTGCTTTGCCTGTGACCCCTGCGCGTTGGACGGGACTGAGTCTTACTCCTGATACACATGCAATTTCCTCCCTCAGGAGTGTCACCTCTGTTCCCAAAGTTTAAGCACAGCTTGTCCTGGTTGGGGGCCCGGGCTTCCAGCCTTCCTGGGGACACAGGTGACCAAGAGGCAGGAGTGAGGGTTACGAAACCGTTGAGCCTTTCAAACACCACTCGCCTTTCAGTCAGCTCTGGGAGACGCAGAGTGGAAGAACCAAGGGACCGCCCCAGTTCCTTCTCCCAGGCGAGACTAGAGCTGCCTTTGAACCTGACCAGCTAAGGAGAACCAGAGTACCTCATGGGGCTGCAGTGGCCTGAACGGGGCTCCCCAAGTCAGATTCCATCCCGTGGTTTCCCAAAGGGATCAGTAGTGAGGCTGCTGAGTTGGGCACCACCAGGGGGAGAGGTGGCCCAGGAGGGCTTAGGCTGGAAGGGGCAGTAGGCCTGCAGAGGGAAGCCCTCTTGGACTTAGGACACCGGGAGTTACAAACACCCCGTTGTGACTTGCCACACACAATGAGAGGTGACCGCCTCCCCTGCCGCGAAGCCCAGTCCCTGACTCTACTCTCTTAGGCCAAGGGAGGCAGCTCAGGTGAGTGAGAAAACTGGGGCTTAGGGCAGGATGGGTGCCAGCACCCACCTCGGGGACACCTGGGCATGTGTTGTTGCCTCTCTGTGTCTCAAGTCTTCTTACCTGCAAAGTGGATAAAACCTCTCAGCTGACGAAGGCTAGGAGAGCAGGGGTGAGTCCCTTGAGCACCCCTCAGTAGGGTTCCATACCCTTTGCTCCTTCCTTGGTTCCCCCCAGGCTGGCTCCCTGAGGGTGGCTGCCTGACCCGACCCGGTGTGCCCCCAGCAGCAGACCCAGGCCACCCTCCCTTGCCTCCCTTTCCCACTGTGCGTGGCGGGCTGATTCTGCAGGCATCTCACTGGAAGACTCCCTAACATTCTGCCTCTTTCTGCTCCTTTCCCAATGTTTGACTCAATTAACTCAAGAAAAATATCTGGGGCCGGCCGAGTGGCTCAGTTGGTTCAGTTCCCACATGCTCCAGTAAGCTGTGCCCTCTACAGCTAAGATGCTGAACAACGGCTCAACCTGGAGCTGGGCTGCCATGAGTGGCCAGTGATGGCGTAGGCTGCAGTGGGGCTGCAGTGGGCTGCCGTGAGCCACCGTGAGCGGCTGTCCAATGGCCGGCAACTGAACTGCCTTGCCCGGGAAGAGCGCAATGATGGTGCCAACTTGGGCCAGTGAAGCTGCGTCCTCCACGGCTAGACTGAAGAACAAAAGGACAGCAACTTGTCTGTTCCCCTTCCCCCAAATCCCCAGCGCTGTTCCCATCCCCCAATTCCCCAATAAAATCTTAAAAAAAAAATGTTTCTCATTCTCTTTCCTCAGCCCTTCATTTCTTTGTTCCATTTCTGGACTAAAAAAAGAAAAAGAAAATCACTGTGAGAGGAACACTGGCATCAGGGGAGACGAGAACCATCCGTTTTTCAAAACAAACGATGAGAGGTCCCTGTCACCCATGCCAGCGCCCGCGTACGCACCGTGCGCGCTCGCTCGGAGCCCCTTAGGAACGATGTGGAGCTAGCCCTCGCCCCACTTCCCTAGCCTCGCCTCTCCCAACAGGGACGTGCGATGCATCTCAAAGCAGGTTTTCATTCAGTCTGTGACATTTCTCTGGCAATTGCCTTGCTATGATGCTGTTCCTATTAACTTCCCTGGTGAATGACAACTCTTTAGTTCCATTATAACCTAAATTGGCTGCTGAAACCGCCAGCCCAGCGGCACCTGAGTGGCAGTTCGATGGTTGGGGGACGTGGGCTCTTGTTAGGGCTGAGATGTGCCCAGCCCCTCCCCCATTCATCTGTTGAGGTCCTAACCCCTAGTTCCTCAGAATGTGCCTGTATTTGGAGAGAGGGTCTGTAAAGAGGTCATTATGGTTATTGGGGTGAGCCCTAACCTGTGTGACTGGTGTCTTTATATAAGAAGAGATCAGGAGAGAGACATGCACAGAGGGACAACCATGTGAGGACACAGGGAGAAGACGGCTGTCTACACACCATGGGGAGAGACCTCAGAAGAAACCAATCCTACAGCACTTTGCCCTTGGACTGCCAGGCTCCAGAGCTGCGAGAAAATGGATTTCTTTGTTTAAGCCGCCCTGTCTGTGGTCCTTGGTTATAGCAGCCTGAGCGAACTAATACCGCTCTGCTCCATGCTGAATACGACCAGCCCCGGGAGTGGGAGAGAATCCCCAAATGGCAGCACTTGAATGTGTCCTATTATCATTATCATCGTGGTTCTTGTCTCTTTGCCTCGCCTCCCACCCTCTGTGCAGTGCAGCTGGGGGCCACACCGAGGGACAGAGACAGACACCCCGGCACGCGCATTCACGTACACTAGCCGTCAGGGTCCCGGACGCTTCGTGAAAATGCATCATCATGGCCAAAGTAAAGAGTGCTTGTGTGTCAGGCACGTGCCAAGGGCTTTCTTCTCAACTCCCTGAAGGATCTACGGTCAGGTGAGGAAGCTGAGGCCCAGAGGGGCTGGGTAACTTCCTCACCACTTTCAGTGGGCAGAGCTAGTGTTCGCGTCCATCCCAGGCAGTTTGGTGAGATAGCTTCTATGGAAAAACTCGCTTTTCTTTTTTAAATGTGCAACTGTTTCTTGTAAGGAGAAGGCAGGGGTCTGCGTGACCTCTGCCTGTGACCTCGGCAGTCTAGGCAGACGCTGGGATGCCGCTGCCTTCACGATGGGCTGCACTGAGGCTGCAAAGCAGTCGCCACGTGCCATTGGCGCGGACCTCCAGGCACCCTTGCCTGCCTCCCACAGTCAGGGAGCAAACAGCCCAGCTCCCGGGAGTGTGTGTTGGGAAAGGGACTCGGCTGAGGGGGACAGCACCTGGATGGCTGTCCCTAGCCCCGGGACTGGGGCTGGGGTGGGGCTAGCGAGGAGGGATGATTTTGAGGGATGGACTGCAAACTGTTTTTCAAGGTGCCTCAGTGTCGTGTTCGCTGTCTCTGTGGCACATGCATGGAACCCGAGTAAAGATGGGCAACCTCATGGCCCATGTCATCACGGTCCCATGAAGAAGACACCAACGGCAGATCCAAGCTCACCTCCAAAAATAGCCTTGAAAAGTACTGTAGGTCTTTCCTAAATTTGTCCGATGAAGAACCAAAGGGCAGTTATGTTCATGAAAGGGAGAAGTGCCTGCAGACCTCTTTCCTGTCACGGTCTCAAAGCTCCCAGCCTACTTACTGCACGTTTCCCCCCCTCATCCCACCTCCATCCCCACTCAAAACACACGGATCCCCGCGCAGGTGGATCCCCGCGCAGGTGGCCTGCTCGCTGGAGCTCAGACACCACGCTGCCCTGGGGGTGGGGCAGGCGATGCTAGGTCATCTCCTCCAAGCACACAAGGTGATCAGAGAGATGAACAAGCTGCTTACGGTCACACAGCTGGAAAGGGGTCCAGTTAGATCCCAGCAAGCTGTGTCTGCCGCTGGGACTCCGAACCACGGCACTGAATGGCCCTCCGTTAGCGGGAAGTGAGGTCTCAGCCATTATGATACGGCAGTTAGATCCAAGCTGTAGTGTGTTGTTACTGTTTCTAAGAGTCACAGTATGTGCTCTTCTCCCAGTTTGGCGTGGCCTGGGGAAACTGTCCTCACTCACGCATGCACACTCACGCATGCACTCACCACACACGTGCCCACACACATGCACAGACTCGCACACACTTGCACTCACACATACCCCAAAGCTGAGATCACCTCACTTTCCTATTTTGTAATCTGCCTTTTCCAAGTAACTCTATACTGAGAAAAATCTCCCATTTACTTATTAGGAAATGTTTTCCCGTCATGTGGATTTAATCAACAGTGTCCTCTAATGTGGGTATGAGGACGTCCCCGCCTGTTTGCCTGTGTAAATAGTCCTGGTAAATGATTCCTACAGGGAAATCACTGGCCATAAACATCTGCAGGCTTTGGGGACACATTTCTAATTCAGCCTCTGTGAAAACGGTACTGATTTTCATTTTTGATGAACAAGAGGAAATTTCACCTCCATGGGACTCGGGGTTTTTCTCCGGATGGAATGCCACGTTCCCAGTTTCAGCCCATCTACCTGCCCCCTCAGTTCCCGGAGCTCACCCTCTCATGTGTGTCCCTACGGCGATATCCTTTCCCTGCAGAGGAGCTCAGTGCGGAGCTGCCTCCTGGCTGAAGAAAGCCCCTTCTCCAGGCGGCTTTATCCCGGGTTCTCGTTCACAGGAGCAGCTCTGGGAACAACACGTACTTGGCTAATTCCATGTCCCAAGTCCTCTCTTGTCTTCTTTTTGGGTTCTTTGACTTCCAAAACATTTTTCCTATGGATTTCCATGACTAAGTTCTGGGGAAGGGGCCACTTTTTTCTAGCTTGGGACACAGATAAAGCTGCTTAATCCCATTTTTCAAAGTAAAACTTCCCACAGCGTCCCCAGCTAGCCTAGCGGCATCCCAGGCTCTCCCTGCGGGGCCCTGTCCCTGGCTGTCTGTCCCTGGACTGCAGGAGAAGGCCACAGAAGGTGACCTGTTTCCCCCAGCCCCCCGGTGCCTCCTGCTCAAACGGGCCCTCTCGGGGGGAGAAGCTGCAAGTCCTGCTGTAGAGGCTGTGAGAACAGGGACGTGGCCGGCTGTGTCGGGCCTGTGATCCACCGCTGCCCTTCGTTTTCCTCCCAGGAGCCCCTGGGACAGACTCACAGGGGGCCAGAGGGAGAGTGGGTGCCCGGCCTCCCTGTCTCACCCTGGGCCTGAGCAGTGCCCCTCTGTGAGGGGGGCCTGCAGCTCCGCCATCTCCCCCGCCCCACCCACAGCAGGTCCCTGGAGACCGGGTGGGCCCAAGGAGTGCCACTGCTCCTCACTGGCGGGGGCCTCCGCTCTCTGAAGCAGCCCAGGGGATCTGGTGTCATTCCCTGTGACCTTGGCAGCTGCTCCATCTGTGATGGCGCCTGGTCAGAGGCCTAGGGCCCTCTTGCTCCCTGCCCGCACCCTTCAGAGGACGGGCCATTCTGGATAGCAATTCCAGGAACAGTTCTCAAAGCATCTTAGAAACTCATTTTCCTTTAAACGTCAACTGCCTACTCAACTCCCTCAGGGAGTTAATACGGGGGAGGCCCCCAGAGGCCAGGGCTCAGAGCCGCTGACCTCTGGTGAAGACCAGGGCTGGAGTCCGGGACAGGGCGTCTAGACGCCTCTACTTACCACATGCATGCACGTGTGCACCACGCAGACACACTCACAGCCCCCACTTGCGCAGACCCAGTGCTGGCTTTGAAAGGAGAACCTGAAGCCGCTATTAGAGGCATCTGTCTGTGGGAATGACGTCCCCCCTTCTCCCCGCACCCACACACACTGGGGACAAGGCGGTTATCCCAGGAGCTCCTGGACGCCTGACCTCATTCTGTCACTTGATTGGCTGGGCTTCGGAAACAGCTTCTGTGGCAGGTTATCAGCAGTTCCCAGCGTGTCCCTCTCACGGCGTGCAAAGGGGAGGACCAGCATTACCAGCTCAAGTTTGCTGAGTGTATTGGATCGAATAGTGTCCCCCCAAATTCATGTTCACTGGGGCCCTCAGAATGAGACCTTATTTGGAAATAGGGTCTTTGCAGATGTAAGTAGTTACTTAAAATGAGGTGACACTGCAGCAGGGTGAGCCCCTAATCCAAAATGACTGGTGTCCTTATGAGGAGAGGCACATAGGCAGGGGAAGCCGCCAAGGCTGGTGGGACGCAGCTCCAAGCGGGGGCACCACCGAGGCCCACGCAGCCCGAGGCCGGGTCGGGCAGGGGCCTCCCTAGAGCCTCAGGGCGCCTGGCCCGCCAGAGCCTTGACCTCGGGACCTCCTGCCTCTGGAACCTGTGAGCGTAAACTCTGGTGTGTGAAGACACCTCGTTTGTGGTCATTTGTCAATGGCAGCCCTCGGAAACTAACGCTCAGTTATCTTAGAAAGTCGTTTGTTTTCATGTATATGTGTGTTTATAGCACAGCTTCAATGATCCTAACAGGACCACACTTCTGCTTTGGCTTATTAATCCTCATCAAGCCCCTTATTCGCTGGCCTCTGGGTCCTGTCTCTTCGCCCTGTGACCGGCCAGCCCCTGTCTAGGAACCCGGATGGACAGAAAGCACCCTGGGTGGGGCACAGCTTGGCCGCTGGCCCCCGCGAGTCTGGCCTCGTTGGTTGACAGCTGTGCCCTGACGAGGAAGAGCTACTTTACTTGAAGGAAACTTCCAGATCAGGTGCACACATGCTCAGATGTACATACCCGCATACATTCCAAAGTCTAAGCATTTAAAAATTATCCGCAATTGTCAAGATGTGCAAACAACCTAAAAGTCCATCAAAAGATGAATGGATAATAACATGTAGTCCATCCATACAGTGGAAATATTACTCAGCCTTAAAAAGAAAAATTCCACAATGTGGGAACCCGAGGACAAATGCTGAGTGAAATGAGCCAGTCACAGAAGGACAAGCGCCGTGAGCGTCCACTCACCTGAGATGCCTGGGGAAGTCAAATTCATAGAACCGAAGCGTGGAATGGTGGTTGCCAGAGCTGGGGGAGGGCGATGGGACTGCTGAGCAACGGGCACAAGTTTTCAGTGAAGCGAGATGAGTATCTCCAGAGACCTGCTGTACAACGTTGTGCCAAGTCACCAAGACCGCATGGGTCTCTTAAAAATGTGTTAAGAGGGCAGACTTCACGTTCAGTGTTCCTATGACAATGTAATTTTTTAAAAAGAAACTCCACCTAGTAAAAAATAATTTTGTCCCTAAAATTAAAACCCAGCTTTTGTGTACTTTAATACACATTTCATAAGCCCCATCCCTGCCAAATACTTAAAAACTCTCAGTCACCCTGTTCTCTTCCATCAGCTTGGATAATTTTTAAGTAATGACATTGTTCAGTGTTTGTCGTGTCTGTAGAGCATTTTCATAATAACAACTACTGTTGAGCACACGGCCTGTGCCATGCTCTGTGCTTTGGCGGGACGGTTCCTGAGGATGTGTTCACGAGGACACCCCGCGCTCACCTCCCCCCCCCCCCCGCTGGCTCAGAAACCCACCATGGCTTTATCTCAGGTCCACACTTCACAGGGCCTGTTCCCTGCTCCTCCCCGCACCGCCCCCCCCGGGACTCCTGTCAACAGGCTTTGGGGCAGGGACCCCCCAGGGCTTTGCGGCACCTTCTTGGAGCTGTGGCAGCTTAGGACCTTCCCCGCCAGACTCCCCTCCCTCGGACCTCAGCTCACAGGCAGGTCCCCTAACAGCCGCTCTGCACCTGGCATCCCATCTTGGCGTCTTGAAAAACCTGACTAAAACCTCTTCCTTAAGGACCACAGTGCCCTTCGGGATAGACACCATCTTCCCGAGTTTCAGACGAGGAGATGGGGGCACTGAGCCGGAGCCTGGGGGGGGGGGCTTGTCGGGGAGGATGGTGAGAGGCTGCTTTTAGCTTCTGAGGCCGAGCGTGGCCTCTTCCACCAGGTTTTCTCAAAATCATTTCTTCACAGGAAACACTTTCTAAAGGGCTTTAAAACAGGCACACGGTCATGTTTTTTCAGAATGCCTGACATTCTGAGATTTGGCAAAATTTCTCAGATGAGACCTTTTAGATGAAAATGTGCTCTGAAAACACATCCTTCCACAAAAAACCGCCCTCTGCCTTCTAGTGACCAATTCGGCTTAGTCTGTTTCCTTTTAACGTGGCAGGGGTCACAGGGACACACGCCGAGGTGGACAAAGTTACTCCCCTCCATCGAAACTGGACTGTCCTGTTACTGTGTGGCCAGCGGTAGTGCGTGTCCACCCAGAGAAGGCAGGCGCGTCCCCACCTGTGCCACCCACCGCCCGGCCCACCGACACCGAAAAGGCTTTAAGGAAACCACGGCTGACTGCTGAGCAAGGCGACGAACCCTGGAGGGACGACTCCTGTCTGCACACGCCCCACCTCACCCCCGCGCACCACCTCAGGCCAGCAAAGCATGAGGGAGGACAAGGGGCCTCGTCCTGGAAGGTGCCGCAGCCCGAAACCAATTCCGGAAGGATTCCTTGCTCAGTCCTGGGCTGACCCACATGGGGCCCTGCCACCAGCGCTGTGATCCTGGGCGAGAGGGACTGGCTCACTGAAACGACCGTGAAGCAGCACTGAAGTGGGACCCACGGGTTCCGGAAGCCGGGCCTTCGGCAGACGCACATGCAGCTAATGACAGGGAAGGACCACGGCTGGGGCTGTCCTTGCCTCTGGGCTCCGTTGTCCTCAGGTGCCCATGTGTAACAGCCACTCCCTGCCACCTCCCGCCCCTGAAACCTCGCGCCTCCTGACACTCAGGACGCCAGGGCCTCAGCCACAAGCTTCCTCCGCCTGGTTCCTTTCTCGGAGCCTGAATTGTGACCCGCCTGGTCATTAGCTTCGTTGGGAAGAAGGGGAGTGGCCGGAGACAAACAGCTGCCCCGTTTCCTTCCAGCTGGCTTGGCCCGAGTTGCAGACAGGTGAGGACAGAGGAAGCTGGGACCTAGCTCGCAGCAGGACCAGCCCCTCCTCAGTCCCCTGGTGTGGACGCTGGAATCAGCGTTCCCTGAGGCAATCAACCTGCAGTTAGCACATCTGGGCGCCTTTCCTGACCTGAGTGGGGGCGGGGGTGACCCCTGGTGGCTGCGGTGTGCTAATGCACAACAGTCCCGAAGGGAATGGCATTGGCCGGCTGCCTTGTGGGCAGAAGCTGAGGGTGAGAAGGGGCAGGTCCTGGGCTGGGAGGCGTGGGGGGGGGGGTGCACTGAGGTGCACAGGAAGTAGCTGGTGAAACCCTGGGGGACAGAGTGGAGGTGGGGGCTGGACCTCGGGGCTGCTGAGGCATCCTGGCGGCGGGGTGGGGGGCTCAGGAAAACTGAGCAAGCCTGGCCTCTCATGTCTGAATTGCAGCTCTCTGAGCCAGTGGGTCTAGACGCTGCGGAGGGGTGGGGGTGTCAGAAGTGTGGGAGCACCGCCAGTACACACCCAGGCCCCAGCACCTCATGGGGCCTCACGGCCATGTCCCTCGGCCACGACACCGCCCGTCAGAGAAGGGTGGACTCTGCAGGGGCCAGTGTTTCTCCCCCACGTCAACTCCCAGTGAGCCACCCCAGAAACAGTGACGCTTCCCAAACTCAAGGACATCCTTTTAATCACAAACCACTCACCCTCAGTCTGGCCAGAGGCGGGAAGAGAGCTGAGGGTGGTTTATGAACACATCGGGACACCGAACGCCGAACACTCCCCAGAAATAATGACACTTCCATCCTGCTCCCTGCTGGCCCCCGCCCCCCTTCCTAGGGTGGCCTATGCCTCCAGCTGGGGGCTCCCAGGTGAATGCCCACATCATCACCACGCCGAGATCCTGTGACTGTTCTCAGGAAGAAGAGGGGACTTGGGGCTTCTCTGCCATCAGGGCCCAGGAAGCCATGGCCAGGCCAGGCCCGCAGCCCCCGGCCTCCCGGCCTGCCCCGCACTCGTGTGGCGGGGAGCTCCCGGGCCGCGGCCTACACGATACCCTCTGTGCGTTTGCTTCTCCAGACTACCAGCGCCGTCACGAGCAGGGTCACCAGGATGGGCACCACGATGAAGGGGCAGAGGATGCTGCTGGGCGGGTCCCGCACGGCCCTGCCGGAGACCGGGCAGCTTCTGAAGTAGTGCTGGTGGACAGTGACGAAGAAACTGTCCACTGCTGCGTTCGGCCAGAAGCAGCCCAGATTCCCCATCACGTGCCTGGTGCAGTCGGTGAGCTCTCCGTAGCTCCTGCAGACGGAAAAGCAGGTTGTCAGTCCCTGCGCAGGCCGGCGACTAAGGCGGGACCGAGCCGGGGGCGCTCCACCCCACTCCCACGCCTTGAGCGTCTCCGGAAGCCCAGGCTTAATGGCAGTGGCCCTGGATGGAGGAGACGAAGGTCCTGGACGGCTCCTGTGGGGGTTCCCCGGATGTCCTGCACAACCCCAGACCCCAGAAGGTGCGCTGGGGCTGCGGGATGTCCCTCCCTGCTCCTGAGAGCCACCGGAGGGGCAAGTCCACAGCCCATTCAGAGGAATGAATTAGTGAACCTGAAGAGAGGTCGGTAGAAATGACCCAAACTGGAGCACAAAGAGAAAAAACACAGAGCACCCAGAGCTGTGCTAACTTAGCAACATTCTCAGTAATATTGACTCCAACTTGTAAGCTGAGTCTCAGAAGGAGGGGAGGGAATAAAGCAAAAGAGATGTCTGAAGAAATAATGGCTGAGAAAAAAACTAATGAGACATCAATTCACAAACCCAGGGTCCTAGAACCCCAAACAGGAACAAAACCAAACCAACAGCAACAACAAACAGCCACGTAGATGTGTCAAAGTTAAACTCTGAAAACCAAAGATAAAGAAAAAAAAGTCCAAGAAAAAAATCTTGGGAGTCAGAGGAAAGACACCTATAGGGAACAATGATAGGCATGCTCGCCAACTTCTCACCAGAGACTACACACGTCTGGAGACGATGGGGTGGCATCTTCAAAGTATTGGTGATGGTGATGGGGGAACAAAACCGGCTGCCCAGGATCCTATACCCAGCCAAAATATCTTCCAAATATGCATTTGAAATAAAGACTGTTTACAGAGAAAAAGAAGCTGGGAGAATTCATTATGCTATAAGAAATATTAGTTCTTCAGTCAAAAAAATATAACAAAGAATTTGGGACCCACACAGTAAGAATGAAGATATTTAAAAGATACTTTTCTTTAATTTTTAATCTAGAAAGTGAGTCAATGGAGCAGAAGCCATCCATCAATATGGAGGCAACACTCAGGGAAGCTTTTGGAGGCTAGCTGGAAAAGGGTGGGGCTCCCCAGCACCCTCTACCGCAGCTCCTAGCCTGTGGCCTCTAAATCACTACGTCGCTGCGTCTGCCCTGACGGCTCTCTGGGTCATCACCCCAAGTGCACTGGGCACGGGGCCTCCCCCAGTCCATGCGAGTGGGCTAAGTGGACGAGGCCCAGAGGGACAGGCAGGCAGGGGCAGCAGAGGGCACGCAGGACCCGTGACCACTGGCGTGCGTTGTTCCCCAAGTGAACAAGGATTCATGTTTCATGTGGAAAACAGAAGTGGGAAAAGCCACAGGAAGTCCTGACAGACTGGGTCTCATTGTGGGAACAAATGAATTATTAGTACACGTCCAGTACGTGACGCACGGTAAGTGCTACACATGTCAGGTATTGTTAACATCCAAAGCCCAGCCTTTTAAGTCGGTGGTTGATCGAATTCACAGCTACGTGTTACAAACACTGGTTGGAATGACTATCTTCTCCCGCTTCAGACCCACCAAACCCACAGGTAGTTTCTGGTGTTCTGCAGATTCCGTGACAGACAGTCGATCCTAAACGCTGTCCCCTCATCCTCCGTGCCTGAGGAGCGGGGCTGGGATGTCCCCAGAAGGAGGTGTAGCCATCTCTGGGCTGGCCAGCCAGTGTGGGAAGGAGCCCCTGACCCAGGACCGGACAGCGCAGACCCCACGCTGAGGCCACAGCGAGGCTGAGCCTGTCCCGTGGCTATTCTAGGACCACGCACTCTCTTCTTGAAATGTTATCCCTCCAGTCTGCAAAGCCACCCTGCCTAAAAATAGCTGTAATGTGCAGTCAGCAGCGACTTCATCCTGTTTATTTATACAGAAGTGACAGCTGAAACTTTGAATAAATATTGTGAGCTCTGTCAGCAAGGATGTGATAAAAGAAGTCCCCTCACAGCACAGACATTCTTCTGTTCAAAAGGACACAGTAACCACTGAAGGGCCCAAAATAATCGTGAAAAAACATTTTTGTTTAACCCTCTATTTTCAGCTCTCATGTAACTGAATAGTTATCCTTTTTTGGCCAGGACTTTCTATTCTGGGTCTCTAGGCGAAAGTGGCTGAGGAATGTGTCCTGAGGACGATGGTGGGCGTTGCCAGGGACCCGGGTCCCCGGCACCACGGCTCAGGCCGTTCACTTGTTCACAGAAGGTGTCCACTGATGCCCACCAGCTGTGGACACACTTGTGGTTGCTGTTGTCCCCTAGCCAGCTCTGGCTGGCCCTGATGTGGAGTGTCTGGGCCCGGGCCCTGGCATGTCACAGACCTGGGTTCAAATCCTAGTTCCACCTCTTATTCCGAGTGATGCTAGAGCCTCATCTCACCGATTTGAGCCTTGGTCTCCTCATATTCAGATGAAGACACAGGTACCCACCTGACAGGGTGACTGGGCAGATCAAGTTAAATGGGGTTAAGCGTCCGACATATAGCAGGTGCCCCATAAGTGGACATTTTCTCATTTTTCTCACACTGGTATGTGGCGCAAAAAGGATACATTTCTTGTTCTAGAAACTCAAGCCAAAGTTGACCGGGCAATGTGTGTCTAAGCCCTCAGGAGTCTGAGGGTCAAGCATTTTGGATTTTGGTTCACTTTATCCGTACCAGTATTGGCCTCGATCTACCTGGGACAATTCACAACCTGGTGGCTTCCAGCAGCTTTAAATACCTATGGGGTGGGGGCCACTCCCTGGTGTCCTGGCTGTCAGAGCCGGTGAAGATAGAAGGGACCCATCTGAGGCTGGCCTGAGGAGCCTGTCAGATGCCAGACTGACACTCGTGGTGGGCATTCAGAGGCCGAGGTGTGTGTGTGTGTGCGTGTGAGACAGAGGGACACAGGTGCCCATGATGCTTTGGGCCAAATTGTTCTTCTGGAAATACAAATGACTAATAAGCATCTGAAAAAAAAGTTTAAGCTCACTACTAAGGATAAAAAAGGCAAACATCCAGATGGAATCCTTTTTAAAAGTAAGACTACTTACAGTTGGTGAAGATGCAGTGAAGGGAGGCAGGCACTCGATAAAATTGGTAGCATTTTTCTGAAAAGCAATTTGGCAACATGTGTCCATAACCTCAAAATCATGGACGCCCTTCGACTCAATAATTCTCTTTCTGAGGATTACCCTAAGTGAATAGCATGAAATGTAGACAAGAATAATGCACGATGATACTCACTGCAAGTTTACAATTAAGAAAAACAGTAAACAATAGGACAGCGGTGCAATAAATTGCTTACAAGAGCCTCTGCTTATAACGATTACGATGATACGGAGGAAGGAATTTTTAAGATGTGGGAAAATATTTACATCGTCCAGGATGTTCAGGGGGGTTCTCGCCCCCCGAGGCTCTGATATGAGGGACGCTTGTTCTCTTTTCTCTATTCTGGGGGGGAGATTTCCCAAGGTTTCTACAGAGAGCATACAGTGTTTTTATAATTACACATAAAAAGCGTATTTGGGAAAAGACCTGCAGCAAACGATGCTGACGTTACTGCACTCGCAGCCACGTGGGCTCCTCCTATCTGTGAAGTTTCCATTCTACAGAGAAGCAGCAATATCCTCAGAAATCCACAAACTCTGTTGTTTCGGCAGCAAAGAAACACTTGACCAATTTCCAGAGTGAAAACTGTATGTCGATATTCTTTGACTGTGATATTCAAGACCAGAAATTAGTAAGAAAACAGTGTATTTAAAGAAAATCTAATTTCTAGAAATGAAAGGTCACTCATAATTTTGGGGTCAAACAAGAATTTAAAAATTCAATTACAGGCTGTTAGGAAAATAGTCATGGTGATACTACATGTAAAAATTAATGGAATAGAGCTAGACAGCAAAAATTAAAAATTATTACTAAACAAACAAAAAAAGAAATTATCCAAATCAAGACATTTTTTTAAAAAACAACAAAATAAATCTCTCCAAAGGGCACCTAGTTTGAATGCACTAATAATTATTAAAAACTAATATTTATTGATATTTTTTAAAGCAGGAAAATAAATAAATAAATTCAATAGCTGATTCTTTAGAAAAATAGCTACAATGAAATAAACATTTCTGGATAGTCTAATCTAGAAAAAAAAGCAGAGAAAACATCAATATATAAAACCACAGAGAGGAGATTAGAAAAAGTACGCGATTAACATGCAAAAATGTGTGTTAAAAATTGGAAAAGCCTTGACTTGAGATACGTTTGAGGAAACTATAAACGGTCAAATATTGACTTAAAAAGAACAAAATCTGAGAAGAAAACCGGAAAATGTTATTAAGGAATTACATTCACAAAAGGTGCTAAACCCAGGCAGTTCTTTCAAATTCTTAAGATCACAGAAAAAAATGTTGAGCTTCCCAGTGCTTTTACCAAGTTAACCAAACCCAGGTTCAAAGCCTCTTAACACGGCAAGCCCACGTGCCTCGGAGTGACAGATGTCCTCCACTCTCACTTATAAATAGACACAAAAGTCCTAGGAAACACGTTAGCAAATTGAAGCTAGCCACACAGACACTGTGAAGGAGGTTTATTCCAGGAATGCTTGAAACCGCGACTGTCAAATCACACGTCATACGTCAAAGGAAAACAACACACGATCACTTCAATCCTAGTTCAGGAGGCACTTGATAAAATTCAACATTCGTTGCTGATGAAAAAGAAACAACTCGTAAAGCCCAAAGAAGTTCTCTTTGTAATGTGACAAACATCTTGCTCAAACCCACTGCACGCATCACATTTATGATTGGAGCCCTGGAGGTGTTTCCATCACAGTCAGGAATCTGCTTGTTTAATTTTCAGGTGGCAGCTCTGTCTTCTGCCTCGCGGTTTCCGCCTTTAGTGTCAGGTCTCCCACCCAGGACTTCAAAAATATTCACTGTGGAAACCTTCCAAAGCCGGGTGGGGCTGGCTGCTCACGGACCACTTCCTCTGGTGACAGAAAAGCCAAA